AGGCTGTGGAGACGGGGCCTTTCAGCCAGTGGCCCCCAGGCTGTGGACCAGTTTGACCCTGCAGCTTCGTTCTGCTGACTCTGTGGAGGTTTTTAAAAAGTAACTGAAAACACTTTTATTCTCCCAGGCTTTTATGTCATGATTTTATTGTGCTTTTTGAAGTTCTTATGCTTGTTTTATTCTTTGTATATTTGAGCGTTGATTTTTATTGTACAGCGCTTTGTGGTTTCATGTCTGTGATAAGCGCTCTATAAATAAACTTTACTTACGAAGGTATTTCCAGGCATTTTCTTTCCTGTTCTGTAAGGACAAGCTGCTGTATATTTAACATTCTTTGTAAATAAATGTCTCTGAAATCAGTGATACTTTCTATGAATATTAAACCTTTTTTCCATAAACTGGAAAGTGACAAAATATTTATGTCAGCTTATATTCTTTCTTTTTAGAAGTATTTAAATTAGGTACAAACTTTACCTTTTGAATCTGGCAAACAAAAAGTTTAAGTCTATTTGTGTTAATAAAAAAAAACAACAACAAACAGTCAAAGCAAAATCTGCAGAATTGTGTTTTGAATGATCCTGAAATGAAAAATTTTGAACACATCTTTTTGGATGAGAGACACATGTTTGGTACCTATAGGGAAACAGCCGAAGTGATGCACTCAGAGGAAAAGCTTTGTTGAAACAGGACACTGACTGAGCAGAAGTTTGGCTAAAGCTCACTTATTCTTTCTCAGGGTTTTAGAGGACTCAGTGCTTCGTTTACATTAAGTGCATACCTGCATTTTAGAATTCCATTTCAGTTTATTTTTAAAATCACTAAACTTGTTCAAACAGCTACCTTGGATGTAGAGCTGTCTTTTCTAACCCGAACCCGGAGCCCTACCCTGCCCGACCTGGATTAGGGCCGGTCCTTAATAATGCGCTTCGGTCTGTGGCGTTGTTGGGTTTTGATTGCGTCAGCGGGCACGCGTGGTTGAAGATCCAATTATATGGCGACATGGCTACAATCACCAGCCGCATGCGACCATGTGACCGCGCGCTGACCGGCCTTGAAAGAGGTAAAAAGTTCAGTTAAGCTTCAGATGGACTGCTGCCAGCGATCCATCAGCCCAAATGGACGTTCATTCAGCCGCTGCACTCGGTGAATACCTGGTCGACGACCCAAACAGGTAAGATCACAAAAATATCCACATGTCAGAGCAGGGTCAGAAGCAGGGGAAGCATTTAATGCTCTTTGACGGCCATGAAAGGACAAACACCCCCTCAGCTCTGATCTGCTGCCCCCTTTACTAGTGCACGTCCGTCGACCGTTAATAACTATATAAGCAGTCAAAGCTCAATTAAAAATGTCGGGGGGGTTTCGGGTTCAGACCTGTAATTACTGTTAATCCGTTGGATCAGGTGGGGTTTGGAAATGATGGCTGCGGGCTGGGGCCGGGTTGGATTTTTTTGGACCCGAATGCAGCTCTAATTGGATGTAGCTCAAGATAACCTTTTTTTTTTTATCTTTGAT